CAAACCTGCATCTGGTATCATTAAAAGAATTCCCTTAAACAACAATACTGTTGAAAGACGTATTGATGAAATGAGTTCTGATATTGAAAGCTTCTTATGTAATTATTTGCAAACGACCCATTTCTCTATACAACTGGGCGAGTCAACTTTACCTGATAATGTAGCATTATTATTGGCATATGTTCGTTTTATTATGAATCAAGAAATCTACGAAGAACTGCTCTTCGCAAGAACTTTGATAACCGACACTAAAGGTGAATCAATATTTCATGTTTTGAAGGATTACTTCATTGAAAAAGCAATTCCTTTATCAAATATAATATCCGTAGCTACAGATGGAGCACCTGCCATGGCTGGACGTTATCGTGGATTTATAAGCTATTTAAAACAAAATGTGTCAGGGGTATTAGCAATACATTGCGTCATCCGTCGACAACATTTAGTTGCTAAAAATTTGAGTGTTAGATTGCATGAATCACTTCATTTAGTAATTGATGCAGTAAACCGAATCCGAAGCAACGCGTTGAATACGCGGTTATTTGCGCAGTTGTGTGAAGGAAATGACGAACACTGTCATCAATTACTCCTTCACACTGAAGTACGCTAGCTGTCGAAAGGCTTATGTTTGACAAGATTTTTTGCACTTTTTGAGACTATTTTAGAATTTCTGGATACTAAAGATAAAATTTGAAAAGATAATTTAATGAAGAGAAAAACAGACATCGCCTATTTAACAGATTTGTTTACCAAATTTAATATGGTTAATTTGCAATTACAAGGCGACAGTTTAAATTTGATTAAAACAAAGTCCATCTTATCAGCGATTCTTGCCAGAGTTAAACTAATGAAGCACAATATTGGACGGGGCGAATTTTCTCAGTTCCCCAATTTGTCACAGACAAGCTGCCAGGAAGACGACGTTTCAACTTACGTTCAACATTTAAATGCCCTCTATTCAGATTTTGAATCTAGGTTTGAGGATATTTTGACGATGGTAATACCACCGTGGATAATTAATACATATGGTGACATAGAAGAAACGAATGTCATAATACAAGAGGAACTCACTGAACTAAGTACAAACGAAGAACTCAAGGTTCAGTTTAAAAACGGATATCAGCAATTCTGACTGCAAAACAACATACCCGTTACTTATCCCGTATTATGGAATATAGCGAGGGAATTTTTAATTTCCTTTCCATCGTCATACCTAGTGGAAAGGGGGTTCAGCGCTGTTACCAACCTCCTAACAAAAAAAGGAAACAGACTGGACATCATTAGCCGAGGAGGTTTAAAATTAACCCTTACAAAATTGACGCCAAATGTTGATAATTTATTATTAAAGCATCAGGTTCATCCTTCTCACTAAAAATATTCACTTATTGCTTATGTTATTTTATTTATAGTTTATTTTATGTTTATTGGTGTCTGACTGATTGGGAATAAGTGCCCGCATTGATTTTTTTAAAGAACCCCCCTTTATAGAAAATATATTTTTTTAAATTATTCTGAAAATTCAAGGATAGGCACACACTAAAATTCGTTAATTTTTTGCCTATTTTTAGATAACTTAAACATATAAGAAGCGGAATTTAATCAAACTAACAGTGAAATTATTGTAGAACATACGTTTATGTTATAATTAATAAACGTACTATTTTAAGTAAACAACTTTTTTTTAATTATTTTTCACTTTTTTTATTTTATCCCTCTTATTTTTTTTCAATGTGGGCACTTATTCCCAATGCGGGCACTTATTGGTCAGACACCTGTTTATTTAATGTTACGTATATTTTACTTAACAGATACAAAATTTTATTTTGAGTAGCTTCAATTTAAATTCAATTAATAAATGTATAAATTAACATGCGTTTTTACTTTAAGTTTTTAACACTAAACTTCACTACAGTTAGAAATTTACAGGAAATCAATATCAGGTAAGTAGGGGGTCTACCCAACACGGAAAAACATGGCAAGGGGTCTAAAGTTTGGGGAACTCTGCTTTACACGCACCGGGTGTAACATATTTTGGGATGACACCCACCCGGTGACTCAACTTTAAGAACAATGTATAAACATAAAAAAAATTGCACAGATTGCATTTCAAAGTGAAGGCTTATGTAACTGTTAACGAAACTGCTACAAAAATAGAGGCACTTCGTCTTTATATCGAAGAAAAACGGGGTCACATTGTAGAAGAGACAACAGATATTGATTGATACAAAAAAAAAATCAGAAGACTACGATAATCCAACAGAAGGACGGGTTGGTGCGATGGTCAGTGATGCAGGACTGACACTGAAAGAAGAACTTCAAAAAGATATGTCGGTATGATTCAGAGTTGAACTCCAGACAAGATCGAATTCTCTTCAAAACCTCGCTTCATTGTTCGAGATCGTAGAAAGGAATACTTTGCTTTTGGGGAATACTGAAGAACTGAAATTAGCTACATCCAAATTTACTGATTTTTATGATGAGATCTCTGAAACATAATTACTTTTGGAGATACCAAGACTGCGAAGACGCTTGAAAGCCGCTAATATTACAATTTCTGATTGAGTATCTCTAGATTTCTTAAAGTTTATTGTAGAATGTGATTTTACAGAAGCTCTTCCAAATCTAATGATTGCACTAAAATTGTTTAAGATGGTTTGCGTGTCCGTGGCTTCATGTGAAAGGAGCTTCAGTAAACTGAAATTAGTAAAAACCATTTGCGGACAACAATGAGCTAATCGCGGCTTAGCGATCTTGGCATACTAGCCATCGAATACGAGACAATACAAAATATAAATTTTGATGAAGTTATTTCTGAGTTGGCAGTTGTCAAAGTTAGAAAGAAGAGATTTTAATTATTGTAAGACGAACGTCTTTTTTGCCTTAGTTTTTATTGTGTTCAATATTTTATGTTCTGACCAATATGGATTTAGAAAAGGAAAATCTACTACAGATGCAATTTTGGCTGCAATGGATGAAATTAACTCTAATGTCAACAAAAAGATACCTACTATTGGTATCTTTGTTGATCTAAAAAATGCCTTTGATACGGTTAACCATGTCGAGCTTCTGAAAGTTATGGAAAGATTGGGATTTAGGGGAGCGTCACAAATCCTTTTAAAAAATTACCTTTCAAGTCAAGCACAGACTGTCAAAATCACTAACACTTACAGTAAAAAAATGTACATCAAGTGTGGTGTGCCTCAAGGCCCACTATTATTTAGTCTCTACTTAAATGACTTATTCAAAATTAACAGTTCTGGAAAGATTATATGTTTTGCAGATGACACCCTCGTATTATATAAAGCTGATGACTGGAGCACACTGAAGCAAATAGCTGAACAGGATTTTATAAGGATCATTGACTGGTTTGATACTAAAGTTAACTTCAAAAAAACAAAATTTATTGCATTTACATCCTATTCAAAATTTTTACCTACCTTCGAACAAATTTCCGTTAATTATCATGGCCAAAAGACAAAAATCGATAGAGTTAACACTTTGAAATATCTTGGAATATTTATAGACTCACATCTAAGGTGGGATAATCCTATACCATGCCTTAGTTGAAACCCATATAATATACGGCATCACAGCCTGGGGTGCCGCCTGCAATGCATACCTATATTTCTGACCTGAATATAGCACAAAAAACTGTTTTGAAAGCCATTTTCCATAAGCCAAGATTATATCCAACTAACAACTTATATCAAGAAACAGGGATACTTGATACAAGACAACTTTATTTCTTACCTGCCACCACCTTATACCATAAGTATTGTAATAAAAAGAAAAAATCCTATAAACACGAGCATAACACACGATTTCGAATAGGCTCATCTAATATCCAAAGACCACACAAAACATTATCCAAAAAATTATTTAAATTCTTAGCAGCTAAATTATATAATGTAGTACCAAACGAAATAAATATACTTAATTTTGGAAAAAAAGTTAGAAGAAAATTGAAAGACTGGGTTATTAATGTGCAGCGAATGACTATACATAATTATATAGAAAACTAAAACTACAAACTTCCAATTACATTAATACCATTCAGATTTAACAATAATTGTTATACACATATATGATTGATTGTTAGTTATTAAGATATAAACCACACACAGGCGAGGCCTTCTGTGGTTTTTTCATATTTATTTACCCATTTTTTGTATTTTGGCGAACAAATATTATTATTATTATTCATGGCGTTTATAAATCATTTAAAATTTATTGCTTTTGACTTTCGATGGGGCGACACCACACACTTCCGCACCGGGTACCACCCACGGTAGCTACACCTCTGCCGATAACCCTACAAGGGTATATCAAGGTATTAAATACACCATCTTGGCAAGACATAATGAATCCTTCAGTGACTCAGACTTTTTAACCCACTAGGCCTTACAAATGAGAAGGTAAACAACAAGCCATGTTCCTCTATGTGTCTGTAGAAGATTCCATGATAGACTTGTCTCTATGAAGCCTTAATAAGCAATTTGCTTAATTAGTTTTTATGCTGCTCCTCAGTTGAACAGAGGCCAGTTCGGTAATGGACCGTTTGAAGTCGATTATGAGACTGAGTTCCGTGACCGCTCTTTTCACTGCTCTAAAAAGAAAAGCTTCTTTACCCACATTCTCGTGCTCACACACAAAGCGGATGAGGGGAAATATCACAGGCAGTCCTCAGTACCACTCTGTGGTTATTATTATTAATACTATTAATATTATTATAATCTGCCGCTAGCTTCGTCACCAAGGATTCGATTTTCAAAAACTGCAGATCTTTTCCATCCATGGCATAATAGTAGCCTTGTGTAAAAATTTCATCAAATACCTAGCGGTGCTTTTCAAGTTATAGATGGGCCAAGGACTAACACGGACAGACAGACCGATGGAAATTAGTGCCATGATTTTTCGATTTTTTTTTAATTTCACCGGCAGCGTGGAAAGTGACATCTATGCCTATGTTCCCTGCATTACAAGAGTATAAAATTGTGTCATACCAAATTTCTCTTGATCTAGCAAGCCTTGCTGTTGGGCAGCGCTGTCCATTATATTCTTCATTTGATGATCGGTGCATGGCGATCCAGAAGGCCCGTATGTAGCTGACGTAGACATTCCTTTTAACAAAACATAGCATTTCAAATAAATATACTAAGTGACATATAAATCCGAACACCCAGTTTCAATGGTTTTATTTTAATAAAATTTTGTATAAGTACTTATTGAAGCATAATAAGTAAATGATAAAAATTTCAAAATGATTGCACTGCTTTAAAGCCGTTTGACCTTTAATAATGTGTGGATGCACCCTGATGTGCTACGTATCCTCCAACGCGCCTAGGCATGCTTCTGATCAGGTAGTCAATGTCCTCCTGTGGTATCTCATTCCAGGCAACCACCAACTCCTCTCGAAGTGATTCTAGAGTCTGAGGAGGACGTTGCAAATTGAGCAATCTCCTACCCATCATATCCCACACGTGCTCAATTAGGGATAAGTCGGGAGATCTTGGTGGCCATGGTAACAATGTGACATGATTATGTTGAAAGAAGTCTATTGTGACTCTTGCAACATGTGGTCGGGCATTATCTTGTTGGAAAGTTGGATCTGCCAGGGTGTCAAGATACAAGATAGGGTAAAAGATGGGGTTCTAGAACTTCGTGAATATAACGCTGCGCGTTCATGTTACCTCTGATGAAGATTAAAGGTGACCTGGAACCATGAGCTATAGCACCCCAAACCATAACTCCAACAGTGTGATGAACATGTCTTTCAACAAAAAACTGTGGATTCCTCCTTTCACCACGTCGCCTTCTAACCCTGGCACGATAATCGTGCATGCCTAAACAAAATCGAGACTCGTCACTAAAGACAATACTGTTCCATTCCTGATCCCAGAGTGACCGTTGTCTGCACCACTCAAGGCGATTACGTCGGTGTTCTCGAGTTAAAGGGAGGACCCAGTGTGGCCGGTATGAAAACAAGCCAAAACTTCTCCTTCGTCGGTAAACACTTCGCATGCCAATAGGTCTTCCGTGTTCTGCAAACCATTCATTTGCAATGGACCTGGTAGTGGAGAAACGGTCCCTTAAGGCCAATAATCTTAGGCGGCGATCTTCACGGTCTGTTGTTCTACGACGGCGTCCAGTGCCCCTTGCTCTTTGCGTACTGCGTTCTCGAAGCCATGCCTGACAACACCTAACCACACTGTCTACACTTCTTTGCACTCTAACTGCAATTGCCCGAAAAGAATGTCCAGCTTCCTGAAGTCCCACTATACGGCCCCTATCAAACTCACTAAGTTGACGAAATCGTACAGGTCTCCGTACTCTAGGCATCGTAACCGATCGTAAAGGATGTCAAGAACCAAAATCCGCCAACGTTGATTCTTTACTGCGGCTGAAATATTCATTTTTAGAGCGTTAGTGAATTAAAAAAAAGCAGTATAAAAACCGGAATGTCCAACTGATAAGGCTGAAAATTTTTTCACTTGTTATTTACAGTAAGATAAATACATTCACCAACTTTTATTAAAATAAAACCATTTAAACTGGGTGTTTGGATTTATATGTCACTTAGTATATACACATCATGCCCTACTTCTTCGCCAGTATCGTGAGAAGTAAAAGAGACACGAAGGTACATTGAATGATAATAATTCATACATACAGTTTTGCAAAGATTCTGTTCAGGGGTAATAATTATGTATCATACCTGAAGGAAGATTCCATGGTGGACTTTCGGGTGACCAACCTCGAGATGGACATGGATTACAACCCTGCTTGAACAGAAGGGATTTCAGTTATGTAAATTTATAACTTGCTAAATTTCTACCTCAAAATACACAACAAAGCAACTCCCTGTAAATAAGGTGGCATTTTTAAGGGAGTTCCCATGACTTCAAAAGCTCGGCACACCCTAAGAGGTGCTACCAAGCGTAATCCCGTGTCAAGACTGACGCTATGTAACCACCAACCTGATACATATTTTAAATTCTCCGTTCTACTATGAAGCTGAAGTGTAAGTTAGCTGCCTAAAAGCTCTGTATACTAAATCGGATGTGCGTCATGCGAACTCTCGATAATACCGACACACAAAGCATCCCACAAACCGGCGCGAAATAATAGCAACGAAGTATTCGCAACGAAATTCAGAGCGAAATTCGCAATCTGTTTCGCCTGTTTATTCATACCAAAGCGTCTTATTCGCTCCGCGAACGTGAAGGTTTCGACAGGTTGCGTACATTTTATTTTTGCCTTTTGCAATGAGCTCGTTTCAGAAGAAGAGGAGGCACTTCTATTTCTTGCTTTAGAAGAGGAACAAAATGCACGGTAAGTTATGTTTATTTAACGCCATTTGATAGTTGGGTATGTATTAAGTTTAACGAAGTACTTAAAACAAATATTTTCAATTTTGTTTAGGAAACGAAGGAAGTGGGTACATGATATTAACTTGGAACGAAATAAATTTGGGGAATACCATACCTTGATGCCACAACTTCGGCTGGATGAACAGCGCTTTTACGTATATTTTAGAATGACTCCAGAGTGTTTCGATGAAATATTGAACTTGGTGAAAAATGAAATACGAAAATCTGACACAAATTATCGTGAAGCTATTTCGCCAGAAGAACGACTTGCTATTACACTCAGGTAAAAAAATTATATGTATTAAAGTTAGTAGGCTTATCGAATACGAAAACTTCAGGGATCGTGAAATAAATATTTTATTGTAATAATTGGACTACATGTTGCCACTAGGATTAAATGTTGCTAAATAATTCGAGGCAAAATTTGCCTCCTCTGTTGGATATATTATTGGAGTAAACCCAGTGCCGCTTGGGAAGGACGACATACTACTATCATACATACTTGCAGAATTCTGGGTAGACGCTGAAGACATTTCTTCAATATGTTCAAATTCTTCGTGCGCTATTAATTCGGCTATTTTTAGTTTTATTTGGGCTTGACGCTTTAAGGGAAGTGTTTTCACAGTCTGTGCATGTGCCAAGAAAAGTGAATCAATGGCCTCGTTCTCTTTTTTAGGTTTTTTACCTTCAAAATAATTAATGAGCTATTGTACAGACGAAGATGGTGGTTCATAGCGTTTTCTGCTCGTTTTATATTTTGGTGTAGTTGCAGTCTGCGGAAAGGTGTGCCCTGGAGTAGTCACTGCTGTATTGTTCAATGAAGAAGGTGGTGCTGTCTGTGTTACCGAGGCGTTCTGTGCATCTTCTGCATCTACATCAGCATTTTCATCTTCTCCATGGCCGCGGTCTTCCAAATTTTCGGTTTCTACATTTCCAGCCCTTTCCTGATATATATTTGAGTTAAATTCGGCAGTCTCATAATGTATGACGTCAGTATCTTTCACATTAGACGACATTTTGGCAAATGCCAAAAAAGGACGGAAAAATTCCATGTAGTCAGCCCACTGCCATTTTTTTATGTTGCCCACTGCTTGGCCGGTCTTTGGTTTGGTAGATTTTATATATTTTGCAAATGTGTCTCTGATATTCTTCCACCTTTTTTTTACTTCATCACCTAAAAACGATTTTTTTTATAGATTCCTTGCCACTGGTGACACCTTCTATACAATTGGGCATAGCTTTCGAGTTGGCTTTACAACAGTGAGTGCAATCGTAACCGAAGTCTGTGAAGCGATATGCAGACATATGGAGCATATATATTTACCAGAACCAACAGAGAATATATGGAAAAAATGTGCTGAAGAATTTGAAAATAGATGGAGATTTCCCAATTGCATTGGCAGCGTGGACGGTAAACATGTAACAATCAAGAGACCTAACAACAGTGGCTCCAATTACTGGTGCTATTTACATAAATATTCAATAGTACTTATGGCCATTGTTGGCCCGGACTATAAATTTATATGTGTTGATATTGGTGGTTTCGGAAAAAATAGTGATGGGGGTATTTTCGAAACCTCAAACATGGGAAAACGATTTGAACAAAATTTAATGAGTGTCCCTGCACCTAAATTTCTCCCTGGGCAAAATGAAATCTGCTCGTACGTCTTGATTGGTGATGAAGCATTTGCTTTAAAACCATACCTTATGAGACCATTTCCTTATAAGCAGACTTTAACAGACGTCAGAAAAGAGAAATACAATGTAAGGCTTTGTCGAGCTAGAAGGGTCGTGGAAAATGCGTTTGGTATTTTGTCTCAAAAATGGCGAATATTTTACAGGCCATTAGAAACTAAAGTAGATACTACTATTCTAATTGTACGTACGACATGTGTTTTACACAATTTTTTACGAAGAAAAGTGGCGATGACAAATATTTTCAATTCTTAGATCCCCCAGAACCCGTGCTTGGAGCTTTTACTGATATAGCAAATGATTCTCGGCGGGCAGCAAGGCTAGCACTTTCTACTCGTGACAAATTCGTAAATTATTTTAATTCTGAGATGCCTATGCCCAATATATAGAATGTTCGTTTTCACATTTGTGTAGACTGTAAATTATTTAACAAGTTAATAAAAAATATTAAGTACATACCATTTGTATTTAATTCTTTTCCTATTTCCGTCCAAATCTTGTCTTTCTTTCTCACATTCCTTTATTCATCGTTCGACAAATCATACAAACAAGGATACTTTTTCACTATTTCTATCAATAATTCCGTTTTTGCCATTGCGAATTTTTGAAGAACGGCGTCAGAAACGCTGTCAAAGGCGAACTGAAATACGCCGCGATAAAAACGCTGGAACAATCGCATTCGCTTCGCACAAGTCTGAGCCTGTCCGTAAACCGCCGCGTTTTAATCTGATCGCGAATTCATCGCCGCGAAATTTTCGCAGCCAAAGCGAATATTTCGCGCCGGTTTGTGGGATGCTTTACGCTGTTGTGCATTACATATGACGTGATTCTGGGCCCATAACCTCAAAAGTGTACTTACGTTGCCTGTCGACATTTCGGTGACAGGTGACAAAACAGGTTGTTGGTAAGAGGGACGTCGCTTCTTTGGATGGACCAATTGCCTTCTTTCAATTGCTTCAGCACCTGGAGCGTCTTGCAGACGGTTCCTCATATTAGCTACATGCATGTCATGGTAGGGAGAAGTAGGGGGAGTTTCTATCCTATAGGACAAAAATTTGGGTATAGGATTACAGAAAATTGGTAAGCTTGCGAGTTTAAGGCCCGATTTTACTAAGCTGGGGAGCAAGATAGCACGCGGGTTACCAATTCAACCAATGAGAAGGGGTCTTTAAAGTAATGAATCTAGTGATTTCTTGTAAAATGTCTCTCAGAAAAAATTTATAAGATTTGTGAGATTGGCCCCCAATCCCCATATTAAATCAAGGAATACGTCATAAACTTATTTTTTTCATTTGTGTCGGGACATTAAATTAGCGGCCATGATCATATCGACCACTGCAACGAAGACTACAGTAACTCAAGAATCCTTGCTATTGACTTACTTATGGTATCGATAGACTTTATCGGGTTCTCTTTGGTGGAAGAATAATCTCAGTCATGCAACTAAAGGCAACCACTAAATATTCCATGTCATATATGGCAAGTATAATATTGGCGGTTGCTTCCGTGAAAACTATATCAAATTGAGTTACTTTAGTCTTCGATGCAAGAAATCACGGAAAGCCTAACTTACTGTTAAACCTACTGTCTGACTTACTGTGATTTCGCGGCATAGTTTGAGGTTACGGTAATTAATAGCGAAAACGTTTCAAGTATTAGCTGTATGTAAAGAGCAGCTTTCAAAGCGACCTCAAATGAATTCAAGAACCAACATAATTCTGGCAGATGCAAAAAAGCTAAGTGACCGTTAAATTTAGGCAAGTTTGGTTCATAAATAATGATGAATTCTTTTAACACAACAAAAAGGTTCAAACTTAGCATCCTCTTCTGCCAGATATGCATTGGGATCTGCCGCATCACAGTTTCTCTCATGCCTGTGAAATAAAAAAGTTTAACAGATAATTCAACTAATACAGTCTTCGGTTTTGCTAAGACGACACTCACGTGTTTGCTTTTCATTCTTTCATCAAGTCTGGACCTGATACAGACATACATTACAGACCTATATCGTACTGATGAGGGCTAATGAGCCCCATGTGAATCAAAAGCAAACAGTCTTCCTAGCATTCCTGATCATTATCTGCTTTTCATTTTTCTCTGAAACCCAAGGAAGATAAAAAAATACTAAGAGGACATAATATTAACAGTGCTGAAAATACAGAAGTTGAGAACGATGATGGTGGAGAACACGAAGATGAATATAATTTGAGTGACTCAGATTGGCATTAAATAGGTTTTTTCTACCATTTATTTGAAAAATACTGTAATATTTCAATAAATATTATAGTAAGCCTAGAGCAAGTAAACTTTTTTCTATAAATGATCAAACAAAAACTATAGTAAGTCAACAAAATTTATTAAAAAAATTGTCATTTTCGCTAGGTTTGTATTGGAACACCATTTATAACCTTCTGTATACAAGAATCACTGCAATGTGCAACATGTACTAAGTGACATATAAATCCGAACACCCAGTTTAAATGGTTTTATTTTAATAAAAGTTGGTGAATGTATTTATCTTACTGTAAATAACAAGTGAAAAAATTTTCAGCCTTATCAGTTGGACATTCCGGTTTTTATAATGCTTTTTTTTAATTCACTAACGCTCTAAAAATGAATATTTCAGCCGCAGTAAAGAATCAACGTTGGCGGATTTTGGTTCTTGAGATCCTTTACGATCGGTTACGATGCCTAGAGTACGGAGACCTGTACGATTTCGTCAACTTAGTGAGTTTGATAGGGGCCGTATAGTGGGACTTCGGGAAGCTGGACTTTCTTTTCGGGCAATTGCAGTTAGAGTGCAAAGAAGTGTAGACACTGTGGTTAGGTGTTGTCAGGCATGGCTTTGAGAAGGCCGTACGCAAAGAGCAAGGGGCACTGGACGCCGCCGTAGAACAACAGACCGTGAAGATCGCCGCCTAAGATTATTGGCCTTAAGGGACCGTTTCTCCACTGCCAGGTCCATTGCAAATGAATGGTTTGCAGAACACGGAAGACCTATTGGCATGCGAAGTGTTTACCGACGAATGAGAAGTTTTGGCTTGTTTTCATACCGGCCACACTGGGTCCTCCCTTTAACTCGAGAACACCGACGTAATCGCCTTGAGTGGTGCAGACAACGGTCACTCTGGGATCAGGAATGGAACAGTATTCTCTTTAGTGACGAGTCTCGATTTTGTTTAGGCATGCACGATGGTCGTGCCAGGGTTAGAAGGCGACGTGGTGAAAGGAGGAATCCACAGTTTTTTGTTGAAAGACATGTTCATCACACTGTTGGAGTTATGGTTTGGGGTGCTATAGCTTATGGTTCCAGGTCATCTTTAATCTTCATCAGAGGTAACATGAACGCGCAGCGTTATATCCACGAAGTTCTAGAACCCCATCTTTTACCCTATCTTGACACCCTGGTAGATCCAACTTTCCAACAAGATAATGCCCGACCACATGTTGCAAGAGTCACAATAGACTTCTTTCAACATAATGATGTCACATTGTTACCATGGCCACTAAGATCTCTTGACTTATCCCCAATTGAGCACGTGTGGGATATGATGGGTAGGAGATTGCTCAATTTTCAACGTCCTCCTCAGACTCTAGAAGCACTTCGAGAGGAGTTGGTGGTTGCCTGGAATGAGATACCACAGGAGGACATTGACCACCTGATCAGAAGCATGCCTAGGCGCGTTGGAGAATGCGTAGCACATCAGGGTGCATCCACACATTATTAAAGGTCAAAGGGCTTTAAAGCAGTGCAATCATTTTGAAATTTTTATCATTTACTTATTATGCTTCATTAAGTACTTATACAAAATTTTATTAAAATAAAACCATTTAAACTGGGTGTTCGGATTTATATGTCACATAGTATATTTTTGATGAGATTGTCATTTTTCGGACAACGAAATTCATCAGAGAATCTTCTAATGAATGCCTAATGAGTTACAGTTAATCCACCAATGAAACATAAGCAATTGCGCCATACCCGAAGCATGGACACAGATCTGATTTAATATCTACATTGATACGAAAAAAATTAAATTTGCATTTTATTGAAAATAACAGTGTCTAACTCTACCAGTTGCTGTTTAAAAGTCTGCTTGACATAAATACAATGCCTATTCTTTAACAAACATCTACTTAGTAAATATTCAATGTTTTTGACTACTGCACGAAAAACCCTGTTCCTTAAGCCACTCCTGTTAACAGGGAGCTCTTGCGCCCTCTACTGGCTAGTAGGGCAACAAGTTCTAGCCTTACCACCGTCACCGCGGCGTAGTTTGGTCGTGTAGTCGTCCTATCGTGCAACAGAGTGCGCATCATATTCCTGTTAACAGTAAGAAAATTGATTACTTATTCGATGTTCGTTAAAGAATAAGCATTCTGTAATTTTATGACTTCAAATAATTTTATTTTCAATAAAATCAGTTATGGCGTGATGCCAATCTATGGTATTGATCCATGTTTCGAGTAGGCCACAGTGCCTAGTATGCCTTGGATCCTTTTCCAAGGAAGCCCGATCCAGTGGGGCGAGAATATACTTGGAAGGCAAAGACATGCAGGAAAGCTTTGCGCATGGAACCTGAATATTTACCATCTTAACAGTTAAACTTAACGTTAAATTCTTTTATTAGCGCTCCGTGGAACAATTATAAAATGTATTTATTAATATACTCAGTGACATAAGAAGAGTTACACCCAGAAAAATAATTTCTCCAACTTTTTTTGCCAACATAATGACTATATTTAAAGCATGCTGTGGCAATAATGTCAACGTTTTATTTTTGTTTTTGTTTACCTTTGTTAAAATGTTACTTCTTAGTTCTTGTGAAGCAATCAGTTTCTGAGAGCTGAGTAGTACAGACATTTTTAGCTATTGCCGTTTCATTGACTAGTGCTGAGCTTGACAAAATGCCTCGAGTTCGGAGACGTCCAAATTATCACCATGTTAGCGACTATGCCTATCGAGATGTTGCTTCGTCTTATCGCGAAATTGGCCGTGTTAATTGTACGGCAATGACGGTAATGCGTGTGTGTCGTGTGTGGATAAAAGAAGGTCGAGAAACACACTACGCGTCAGATCGCTGACCAATGGTTTGGAGAAGAAGGTAAGGCTGTTTCTATAGTACACTCTAACGCTGCATTCGAGAGTTTGGGCTTTTTTATACCGTCCACGGTTAGTATTTCCTCTGACTGCGGACCAACGTCGTCAATGTTTGAACTGGAGCAGAGAACGGCAACATTAGGAGACAGAATGGCATAATGTCACCTTCAGCGACGAATCACGATTCTGTATAGGTACGCACGATGGTCGTAGAAGGGTAAAACGCCGCCGTGGAGGAGTGTTGGAGTAATGGTTTGGGGGGCTATTGCCTATGGTAGCTGATCACCCCTTCTCTTTGTTCAAGGTAATATGATAGCTGCGTCTTATGTTGATGATGTCCAAAAAAGCACGTCCCCATATTGTTCGTCGTACTTCGAACTTTCTTCAAGAAGCATGCATCAATGTTTTCCCGTGGCTATCCCGTTCATAGGATTTAAATCCCATCGAACATGTGTGGGATATGATGGAGAGGAGACTATCCACTTTGGACTATCCGCCACAGAGTCTGCCATAGCTAATCCACGAAGTTCGAGTTGCTTGGAATAAGGTGCCACAACCAGACAACAATCATCTCATTTTGTCGAAGCCTACACGTTTGCAGGAGCGCATTTAGTTGCGGAGTCGCCAAACACATCATTTTTTTTCTTATTACTTAATATACTAAGTGACATATAAATCCGAACACCCAGTTTAAATGGTTTTATTTTAATAAAATTTTGTGTAAGTACTTAATGAAGCATAATAAGTAAATGATAAAAATTTCAAAATGATTGCACTGCTTTAAAGCCCTTTGACCTTTAATAATGTGTGGATGCACCCTGATGTGCTACGCATCCTCCAACGCGCCTAGGCAAGCTTCTGATCAGGTGGTCAATGTCCTCCTGTGGTATCTCATTCCAGGCAACCACCAACTCCTCTCGAAGTGCTT